CAACCTCCAATCTCACCTTCTCCAATATTTCCTCTACCATTTTTGTTTCTTCCTCCACAGTCTCTGCTTAGAACTCTTGCCTTCACCTCATCATAAGGGTCTGTCAAACTTCTAGTCCTCTTCTAACAGACAGGCTAGCAAGTCACCTCTGTGAAGCCTTTGCTGACCAATAGATGAGTCCTTCCTGTTGTCCTTTGGTTCTGATGGACCTAGTTCTTACATCTCTTGCAGAGCTCATTACCTTATCGTGTCTCAATCTGTTTTGAGCATATCTCGCAGAACATAGGTTCTTACTGTTTGCTGATTTTGAAGAGGAGAAAAAGGAGGAGCTGTAGGCCTAAGCAAACCTGATTCTCACTTTGCAATATAGGAAGAAGGTGAGGGTGTGCCTTTTCCTAGAATGTGAAATGTTTTCCTTTGCTGGGTCATGAATCACAGGAATCAATGGCAAATCTATCCTCAAATCCAAAGGTCATGTGACCGTAGAGACAACTTCGAGCTACCAGATCATAGAATTTTCTATAGTAGCTTCTTAGTATCTTTGCAGCATTTTCTCTGCCATTTTTAGGAGCTGCTGTGATGCACTAACTGAATTATTATCCTGGCCATTCCCATCCCTAGGTGTCAGGAGACAGGAGGAATCTGAAACACCACTCCAAGCTCACATGGTAAAAATGTCAGGACCTCAGAATTCCTAAACTCCCAAGGGGAGTGTACACTTTCTGGGGAACACCTTTTCTTGATCTTCACTCTTTGCTGACATATATCTAAAATCTTCCTGTAGCCTCTTGAACCCATCCTTTTCCTGCAACCCAGGATAATTGGAGTTGAGCATATGGTCATGAAAGAAACAAAAGACTTAATGGGTAGCCTAGGTTTCAGGGAGATCACACTAGCATTTCCCTCAAGTTTACATATACCCTGTCTAGTGCCACATGACCCTTATTTATTTACTTATTTATTTTTGTCTCTTTGGTCTCTGAGACTATAGGAGGCAGGGTACCTGACACAATTGAGTGCTTGAAAGCTCCATTTGTATTTTTACAGCAAGTCTTTCTTTTCAATTGTAGCTGAAGACAGAGTGTGAAACTGCACCAACCAGTCACACAGACAATCAATGGGGCCAGAGAGCTATCTCTGCTGCTCACAAAAACAATAACCCAAATGCAACCCAATTGCTCAACAGAGGACCTTGGAGAGCTGGGAGTTTCCAGCAGTTGATGAGGTGTGTTCCACAGTTCACAACTGACATATATGTATGTCTATAACTGGCAGGTTATTTTTGGAAAATCTGTGCAGAAAAACTCAGGGTTATCTAGGAGATGGCCACAGAGGAGTGGAGCCTAGAGGCTAGGTCTCCAAGAGGAGCTCTCATTCCTTTCATAAGAAAACAGGAGAAGACTCTGGGGAGCTGTCAGAGATGGGTCTAGGCCTGGTTCAGCTGTGGAGATGCAGCCAGGCCAATTAAATAATTGGCGTGATGGGGAAAGAAGGGAGGCCACACCCTTCAGGCAAACTCCCACCCCAGACAGGAGGTTCCATGCAGCTGTTGCAAAAGCAACAACAGAGCAGGGATCTCTTCCTCCCACTAGCTGAGAACTAATGCTTAAATTAGTACCCTGGAAACACCCAGATCTGCTGGCTGTGCTCTCTCTCAGCTCCTGCCAGCCAGCACCCCCCTCCCCATCCCCCCAACTCCCAGGCCTCACTTTCAAGCCTGAATTTCTCTTTTAAATAAACAACAGTAATAATAAAAGATGGCCTCCCCCTAGAGCTCATCTTGCCAGATATGGAATGACTTCTGGATTCTTCCCACCACTGTGGTAGGAGGTTATTTGATGATGGAGCCCATGGTAGATGTCTACTTGTACAGATTGGTCCCCATCCTTCCGAAGAATATTCTAGTGACTTGATACCATTGATTCAGCAAATTATTTTACCAGATATTTACTGAGCAACTGCTCTGTTCCAGATATACAGAAACACAGTGATGACCAACGCAGTCCTAGACAGGGCCCTGACCTCCTATTCAGCTCCCAGGTCAGCACAGATTTACTGTTCTTGCCCAGAAAGGGCAATGATGCTGACATCAACATTGTGTTGTTTTCTTCAGAAGTTACCGAGAGAGCTCCTACTCTGCCTTCAGAAAGCACACATTGAGGGAGTGAGCAAGAACAGCAAATCTGTGCTGACCTGAGAGCTGAATAGGAGGGCAAGGCCCTGTCTAGGGCGGTGTTGGTCACCACTGTGCTTTCAAATGCCTAGTGTATATCTGGAACAGAGCAGATGGTCACAACTGGTGAAATAATTTGCTGAATCGATGGTCTCAGGTCACTAGAATATTCTTTGTAAGAATGAGGAGCTATTGTTTAAACTTTAAGACAGATAGACCCCTTCATTTCATGAATGAGAAAATGAGTCCAAGGAAGAGGAGACACTTCCACAAGGTCTCACTGAATAATTGCAAAAAACGAAATAGGGCACAAGCTGAGTCTGGGATCCTCATTTTCACAACCTACCTAAAAACCCCTAAGAACTACTTTTGCCCCTCTCCTTGGTCCTTTACTTCTGTGGGATGACACTCTGATTTCATATGCCCCCAAATGAGACTTCTGGGGAAACTCCACACCAGACTCTGCTGGTCTCAATATTATACAAACCATCTGATGAGTTTTTGAGAATCCTCTAGACGTCAACCTGGAAACAGGGATCAAGAAGCAGAGGCAATGCCTATGACCTCCTGACTATATTGCTACTTCCATGAGGCTTTTACTCATTCTCAACAAAATATCCTTATGCAGAGAGGGCTCCTTTAGTCTTCCAAAAAATGGTCTGAAGGCAGCCATTGCTTTTCTGGCAAGTGCTTCCTTCTCCACTTCTACTCCAGAGTAACACAGATTAGAAGCAGTTTGAGAGTCTTCTCAGGCCACTACTCACTAAAATAATCACTGAGAACTTCAGGCAACAGAGGCACCATGGACAGCTGGGAGGGCATGATTTCCCTCACCCCTTTGCCTGGATAGCTATTGCCTCTCTTCTTAGGAACCCCAGATGGAAGAGAAGAACTACCCATTGTTTTCTTCTCCTAAACCACTTGAAGTTCCTTCTCTATCCATCCTCCCTTGGTTCTTGATTAGATGCTTAGAACTGGAAAGGCAATCTAGTTTGAAAAGTCAGGTTGACTGCAAAGAATTCAAAAAGGAAAGCTTTCTTAACCCAGCTCAAAATTCTTCTTAAAGTTTATAGGTACAGTTGCCTCACCCGGATTTTCTGCCCCTTAACTAACTCAATGATGACATCAGACTGAAAAAAAAAAGTCTTATGCCTCTCTCTCACCCCAGTTTAATTTTGTAGACTTCTGTAAAACTTCTAGGCTTTGGCTTCTAGAACCAAGCAGTCACGAAAGACCATCTAGGTCTTTCCTAGGTTATCTCCTGCTAGGTGTCTTCTAATTCTCTCAACCATTGCCCCAAAAGGTGTGGCTGGCCCTCCCTGGTGGCGCAGTGGGTAAAGCACAGCACTAAGAAGCTAAAGGCACTTCTGCATGAGTTCAATCCCCACCTGCCCCGGAGGTGACCACATGGCGTGGCAGACCTCTCCCGACCTGCTCGCTTCTTCCCTCAGCAGTGTACTTCCTCGATCTACCTGTTCTGCTCCCCACTCTGTCTCTGGTGAAGCCTCTCGCCGCCCTTGAGCCTCTGGCCTGTACCCCAGTTCTGTATGCACAAATAAATAAAATCTTTAAAAAAAAAAAAAAGGTGTGGCTTTGAGTTGGTCCCTGCCAAGGCCCATCTTGGCTGCTACAATGGAGAGGCTACTTGCTCAGGACACCACAAAGCACATCTGTCAGCCAGGAAGCCTAAGAAGTGAACCTGCTCCTCACCTCCCCACCAACTTGGAGCTCTGGGAGTCCCAGAAACTTCAGAAATTGGAGAGCTCTACTTGGCTCCAGTTGAGTTCACGCAGAAAGGGGTCAACACCTTTAGGCTCATGGTCTGCCCTACATCTTCCACCTGCCCCTCAAATTCCCAGGGAGACAGGAGAAGGAGAATCGTCCCATCCCCCTCTCCCTATACCAGCTGGCTAGGCCTCAGCATCTCCTGCCCTACAACCAGGCAGACAAATCAGGCGCGATACCACTTCCCTGGCATCAATGGCCAGCCAGCATGGTCTCCCCTAGGCCTGGGCTGCACGCGCCCGGCCGCCCTCCCTCTTCCATCCTCTCCGTGCCGGTAGCGATGACATCATTCCTCCCTGACTCCCGGACCGCGGACAGGCGGCAGGATAGGCACCCAGCGAAGACTTCAAGCACATAGGCCTAGGATGCGGGGGCTTTTCCGAACGGGTGGGCACTGGCGACTCCACAGCGGCCCCGCCCCCTCTCCGTAGGTTTCAAGCTCTCTTAACGCGCCCCCTGATTCCCCATCTCGTGGTCGTGCGCTCTCCTCGGATCTGGTACCCTCAGACTAGACTGCCTGCGCTCTCCTCCTCCTCCACATTCACTGAACTGGTGGGCAGGCCCCTCCTCTAACATACGCCTATTTCCAGTCCCTCCTGGCCTGACTGCTCCCCAGACCCCTCCCCCGCCCAGAGCATCGCAGGCCTCTAGGGCTAAATGCCTCCCTTTTCGTCATCCCTGTCCCCGAAGCTTGCCGCCGCCAGTGCCCCATCACTGTCCCCTGTCCCCTTCCTTTCCCAGCTATTGGCCTCGTCTAGCGATGTGCCCCATTGTGCCCCGCTAGGTTCCACTCGGCGGCGCTCCCTATAGCTCGCTCGGCCTGCTGCTGTTGACGGAGCCCTCCGACCTCACAGGCCCCTTTGCCGCGCACCTCCCGTGGTTTTCTTATTCCTCAAGTCCTCCCTCCCCGGAGGTGCCTTTTCAGGGCTCTACCCCATCAGAAGGCGTCCCTCACGCACAGTCCCCAAGGCCTCATTTCCCTCCATCCCCCTCAGGCGGCGCCCCCTCCCGGCCCTGGCCTGCCCGCCGCCCGCCCCCTCACCAGCGGCTGCATCTCGGAGTGCGCGGTGGGCACCTGGAACCGGTCGATCTCCTCCATCATGGTGCCGGCGGGCGAGCGAGCCGGGGGCCGGGCGCTGCCAGGGACACCAACAGGACCGCGCGGGGCGGCGGCCCCAGGAGCCAGGTGGGTGGTGCTGACTAGGCCGCCCGGGACGAGTCGAGCGGGCAGACCACGGGGCAGATTGAGGGGCAGACGCCGGGAGAGAGGCTCGTTGGCTGGCTGAGGCCGGCGTGACTCCGTGGGTTTGCTTGGCGCTGCCGCGGCTGTGACCCGGCGGAGCCGCAGGTCTCGCCTCGCCTCCTCCTCAGCCGCCGCCGCCTCCTGTCAGCAGCTCAGCCACTGCGGTGACTCGGCAACTCCACTTCCGGGTCCGGGACACCGCCTGAATCTGCATTATTCATAAGGAGGCGGCGCCTGGGCACCCCAGTCCCTCCCACATGCAGGAGTTCCGAGGGTGCGCGGCCGCGGGTCCTATTATTCCTGAGGAGGCGGGACTTAGCGGAGCTGGAGGTTCCCTGCGCGCCCTCCTCAAGTCAGGAGGGGGAGTCGGGGGCGTCGGAGGCGCCTGCGCCTTGCTGCCAGTTGGTTGCTGGGTAACCGCGTCAGGGAGGAGCCGAATCCATCCCGCTAGGGTGCGGGGACCCACAGCGACGGCTGTCCCCAAAGAACCCTTGTGAGTGGAAATTGAAGAGAAAGAGAATCCGGATTTTCTGTGCGTAGTCGAGAGGACGGGCAAAACGCTTATCCTCAGGCGAGGGAGCGCTTGGTAGGCGCTCCAGGTGTTGAGGGGCTTCCTGCTTCTAAGATGCCTCCGAAACTGACACCTTTTAAGCAGGTAACACACGCTCAGACAAGCCCTCTCCCAAAGACCGTTGACCTTCACCGCCACTGTATGATCGCTGATCATGCCTTTCCTACTGAGTTTTCTTCTTCCTTTCCTTCTTAACGCATAACATTTTCTCTCCTTGTGACCCTCCTTCTCTCCCACTGACCTCTAATCTTATCCTGCTCTCTCTCACTGATTCTAGCCTCCTCTCCCACACTGCCCCGACCCATTCTTTCCTTCCTCTCTCATCCTTTCTTCACTGTCTATTCTTTCACCCCACCCTACACCCATTCTGACCACCCATTCTCTTAAACCCCCTGCCCCCGCTCCTACTTATACATTCCTCATTGCCCTCATGTTCTTGTCCTAAAAAAAATAATTTTTAGCCCTTTGATGTGTGTGCAGCTCTGGGCTAGGTGGGGGGGCACTGTCCTTACCCTTTGGGAGTCCACAGAGAGAGTGCAAGAGAATTCATTGTATAGGAAACACAGAAACACAAAATGCAGGAATTGGGTTTAGATTTTCTGTGATGGGAGACTTGAGGAGAGAGAGGGGTCGAGTAAAGAAGAGGAGAAAGACCTCTTTCCTCTCTTCCCCCTCCCCCACCATTTATACATTGCACATTTCAGACACTAAACTCCTACTCTTTATTATGTCTCTCATTTCTGTGAGCACCTGATCCGCTCTTGTAACTCCCTCAGCTATATGAACATTGTTTCTTCGTGCAACCTGGCCAGATGTCATCCCTTCTCTCAGGAAACCCAGGAATCACCCCCTTACTCACACAACCCAGAGTTTTGTTTTCCTCCCTAACAGCACCCTGAAAGATAAGTCCCAGATTCTTGAGGAGCCCTCTGTGATGAAGCCACTCAGTTGTTCAATAGTCACATTTCCTACCCCCTTTATAAGTTACCACCCTGAAACTAATATACATTTCCCAGCTCTGTGACCATTCATTCATTCATTCATTTGAAATCTCCCTTACTCAGGCATAGGTATTTGGAGTATTAGTAAGCAAATATGTGTCTATGTGGTGGTGACCTTACATACTTTGGGCTGGCCTCCTCCATATTAGTCTTTGTTGCTCTTCTTCTTTCTCCTGGCCTTCCATAGAGTCTTTCTTAAATCTCCACCACCATGGGATGCTCTCATTCCACACAAATCCTAATTGCATATTAGGTTGAGCTTTGTTTTGAAGCTCATGAACTTCAAAACATGCTTGAACTTACTTGCTCTTCTTCATTTACATGCAGTTTATTTTTAATTCTTCCTTTTGGAGACCTGGTTTATATACAATGAAATGAACCATTTTGGTTGCTCAGGTTGACAAATTTTGGCAAATTTATGAACCACCTCCATAATCAAGATACAGGACAGTTCTTCTATCCCAAAAAGTTCCCTTGTTCCTCATCTATCAGCTCCCCTAATCCCAGGTTATCCCTGATCTGTTTTCTGTCACTACACATTAGATTTATCTTTTCTAACACTTGCAGTTTGAACTAGGTTGATGATCAATCTCCAACACTTTTAGGAGGCAGAGCAACCTGGATTAAATCTGGATATTTGTCCCCTACACACATTAGCACTGCCCAGAAGGAAGGGTTATTTTAGGATAGTGTAAATATTGGTGTGTGAGGTATGAGTAAAGTTTAGGTTGGGTTAAGGTGTTTTATCACTCCATGGTAAGCCAGGTATGAAACAACCTAGAGATGTTTGAGAAGTTATCCCCATCCTCAGTTCAGTGGGGGAGACAGAGCATAGGCATACAGAGATAAGAGAGGCCATGGGCCCCCTAGACTGAGAGAAAGAGACAATGCAACTTGAAGCTGCAGAATAACTTCAGGGAGAAGGCACGTAGCACTTAGATACTTGCAGTGGAGAGGTACAGTCAGGGATGGGTATGCTAGGGGATAGAGAAGAGTTTAAACTCCGTTGTTCATGTTCCAACACTGACCAAACTTTTTAGTGGCTTTCTTTGTTATTAGAATAAAGCTCTAAAAGTCCAGCCTGCTTCGTATGTCCTTGCATGGTCTTGGTTTATTACCCATCTGACTTCAGATGTCACCACTGCTCTATGTATGCACTGAACTGCCCTTGTTTCCCAAAAGGTGACATCTGTACTCTCTTTCTCCTCTAGGCCTTTCAAACTGCTGTTTCCTCTGCCTGCTTGGTACAGTCTTTTCTGTCTGCTGCCAACCTCAAATCTACGTTACCCAGCCTCAAATCTCCCCTTCATGTCCTGATAGTATATTAGAACTCAGCGGAGCCATCATGTTTTCCTATAAGGGATTAAGTCCCCTTTTTAGAGGCAGGATAAAGTGATATTTCCCTAGACTATAAATCCTGTGATGGCAAGATTATGTCTGTCTCATTCATTGTTAATTCATTGTACCCAGCACAATGCCTGAGAAAGTAAGTCAAATATAAATTTCAAATGCCTTGAGCTGTTCTTTGAAAATTTTTATTAGAACATGTTTGGAGACTAGGAAGGAATGTGCCTGAGATGTGACGACTAGTGGGGAGTGATACAAGGTAAATACACTGTATAAGCATGTTTTTCTGGGCTCATGTTTACATCTGCTTTGGCAGTAGACTATAAATGATTCAAATTTGAATTACATACACCATGCTTTAAGACCTTGTTAAGATGAAGAGATAAAAAATTCTGATGCTGGGAATATTAATTGTCATTCAACAATAACTTATTGAGCTTCCACTATGTGCCAGGTACTGTTCTCATGGAGTTTTATCTGTAAGTGAAAGTAAATTGTCTACAAACAAATAAAATAGCTTATGAGATGGTAATAAGTATCAAAGAACAATATAAAGCAGGAAAGTAGACTAGAAAGCTCAGGAAACCATGAGATTCTGATGTAAATAGGGTAGTCAAGGAAAACTTCACAGAAATGACCTTTGAAAAATATCTAAAGGAACTGAAAGGGTTAGCTGTGTGATGTCGGGAGAAAAACATTACAGACAGAGGGCAAAGCAAGAATGAAGTCCCTGATATGGGAGCTTGTTGCACATGTTCTGGATCATCAAAGAAAGAAGGGGGAAATGGCTGAGAGGTGCACCCCTCTGTCCTGTAGGATTAATCAAATAACCCATGGCATATTAAGTCCATCATAATAGAGCTCCATGAATCATAATTTGTAATTAAAATGCATGAATGTCAGGCATCATAAACCATGACCAGCTCAAAACATCACTGGTAATGCCCCAATAACAAATTGTCCTTCCTGAAAATTGTGAGAATTCCAACTGACTGCATGGGTATATGTGCAAGAGAAGCTTTGCAACATTGCCAAACATTGCCTGGCAGCCAGACTTCTTAGTAGAGAACTGAATTAGAGTCTGTGAATTCCAGTTAAAAGCTAATTTTAGTTTATGACTAACAAAGTATAGTACTCCTTTATAATTCAGTTGGTTACCATAAAAAAAATCAAAGTCTGGAATTTTGCATGATTCTCCTGTAAGAGCCAAATAAAAGGCTCTGTATTCTCAGATTATTTTGTGCTCTTTCAAGAGGCCCTTCTGGGATAGTACTTTAGAAATATTGCTCTTGATGAGAGAGGACTAGGGTAGGGGTGAGTGGGTCCAAGGCCAAGGCCAGGAGAGAGACAGACTATTCAGAGATATTTAGCCTGTGACTGGAAGCCTGAGGGCCATAGGAAGAGGTGAGGAGAATCTCAGTAAAGCTTATGTGTTTCTGTATGTCCAAAGTAAGAAGATATCCTCACTTTTGTGACCTTTCTTTTCAGTATCATCCTTACCTTTTTTCCTCCTCAAGCTTTAGATATGAACCTTTGCTTCTTTACTTCCTAACTGTCTCTAGGATCAAACCAATTTTTTCATATTCTTTGCCACCCCCCTAGCCTGGCCTACAGTTATTTGTCACCCACAGGGCTATAAAAGCCTTGTAGCTGGTATTCCCCTCACTTACGCATGCCCCTTCCAAACTATTCTCTATCTCCATCAAGTAATCTTTTCAAACTGTCTATCTTATTATGTCATCCCCCACTAAGAAACCTTCCATGACTTCTATTGCTGTTAGGATAGGGGCCACATTTTTTTTAAAGATTTATTTATTTATTCATACAGAACTGGGGTATAGGCCAGAGATGCTGGAGGGTGAGAGGATTCACCAGGGACAGAGTGAGGAGCAGAACAGGCAGATCGACAAAGTACACTGGTGAGGGGAGCAGCGGGCGGGCCAGGAGAGGTCTACCTCGCCATGTGGTCTCCTCCGTGGCCGGCAGGCGGGGATAGAACTCATGCGGAAGTGGCTTAAGCTTCTCAGTGCAGTGCTTTAACCCGCTGCGCCACAAGGGAGGGCCCGGGGCCACATTTTTAAATAACCTTTCAAGAGCATGAGTAGGTTGAGGCTTGCTTGGGTCTCTAAGCCTTAACATGTTGTCCCTGTCACTGTCATACTTACCTTAGTTTTATGTGCTCTCTACTTTATCTAGAACTCTCTTCATACCCTTCCTCACACATGTATTTATTCCTACAGTTTCAACCCCACATATCAATCCCCTCGGTTCACCTCAGTGCCACCAGACGTTTATAAAGA